TCATCGTCGAGAAGTAATAGTTTTGTGTGAACGCACCAACTACACTTAAAGGACTTGTCCATCATTTTCTCTGGTCGTGATAACTTCATTGCCGGCGAGTGTTAGACTTTCCTACCCACGTTTATAATCCAAAAAGCCCACATTTTGACAACGCAGGAGTTGTAGTCGAATTAACACTCCTTGTTTCTGTTTGTTGTAGTTGGTCACCCTGAACGCAGTAACACTCCAACCAGCATAGGGTAGCCTCAGCCAGGTCTATTCGATTAAAAGGTTATTTTCAGTTACAACCAAACCAAAGGTCAGAAGTGAAGTGCTTTTCTGCAACTGGAAATAGGAAAGCAGCACATAAAGAAAGGAAGCAATAATCCCAGCGAAGAATTTGTTTCCCAGGTGTTTGTTTCTCTTTGCCTAACTTTCCTTGCTATGACGCCAGTTGCGCACGTTTTCTCCATCGAACGGTTATAAAAACAAATTTCGTGCCATTCTACGGTTTTGGGCCTGTGTTAACCACGCTAGGTAGAGCGAAATATACCTTTGACGTGAAGTCAGAATTTACGGTAAAGTCTCCTAAATGTTACGTATGGATGATATGTACAGATGTGGTAGGTGTCTCATTAGACATGAAGATGGCTTAATATATTTAGTGTCACAGAGGATAACGAATGTGCACTCGCTAATCTGGTGAGGCTGCCAAAGGATAAGTATTTACCCAGCTGTGCGGATGTATGTTACTATTCCACAGAGTTTGACTAACCCTAATAAACTTAATATACTCTAGTACCTACTAAACCAGTACCTCACCTAACGTGTAAGTACTGAAAATGAAACACAAGTCAAAAGGACCAGTTTGAGGATATATTTGAAGAAGTAGTGTATTTACTTAGAGTAAATGTAATAGTAATGAATGGGGGAAAAGTTCATTCAACTTATCTGGCCAGTGTGGTTGAGCTAGGGACTCTGAGTGCGTGCGTGCTAACTAGCACTAAGGAAGTGCGAAATAGCCTCCGAGCTTGCCGGGATGCTTGCTCCTTAAAACAAAACTTAAAACACCCTAAGCATCCGGAGGGAAGCTAGAGGTTTATTTATTTAACTTAATTTAATCCATTTATTTTAGCCCTAGTTGTATTTTGGTGCCAGGAAGGTGCACTGCACAGTAACTAAATCCAGGAGTGGATTTCAGTGGAAAGTTTTTTCCAAATCTGAGAGAACTTAATGGTGAAGAAATTTGCACCAACGGAGAACACTGAAGGAAAGTGTGAGCTCAATTTTGAGTTACATCACCCAAAGTGGTTCCGGATATATAGCCGTGAATGAAGACTTGTAGTGCTGCCCCTATTCATCTCCCAGCGATCTAAGTGGATATCCTCTATTTTTGGTTTGTCCTTAACGCCAGTGCTGCTCAAAATAAATAGGCGGTTTTCCAGCAGAAGATGTATGCATGCTTTGTTAGGCAGTAACTCGAGACCATCGAAGTAGAAGCCACGGAGTGTGCGTCCCAATGGGATTCTGCATTTCCATGTCTGCTATGCGACCAATTCGGAAACTGTAAGGCCAACTAAGCGTCTTAGCGCGAGGTCACATACGCCCCGAAAAACAGGTATTTTCACAGGCCGAGGGCATGGCTTGACGTTTGCCGAGGGAGCGCCGACACACATCCAGCCACGTTTACGAGTACTGAACTGAATTTTCCAAGCGGTTGACGATTTGAATATGATATCAAGCTAACTCCGTACTGATGCTTTGAGCTGAAGCAGATAAGTTTGGGTGAATGTGTATGCAACTTTGAGGGCGTCAGCAACCAAAAATGGCTTGCCATGTGTAAAACAGGTGCAAGTATCGTCGACGCATGGGCTAACAGGGGGTGTCGTGATGTTGGTAGTAGCCCCTCAAGAGTTCCCACAACTTTCGATGAGCACCACTTGGCTTATGAGATAGCCGTAAGTAATTCACCACAAGTTGCGGCACACCTCCGAGGAAGACAGGTGAAACCGTAACATTTGATGACTTTAGTATCTGCCTTGAGGTCGCATCGGAAGTCGATGAGACATTCGCATGCAGGCTAATTCGGCGGTGAGTGCGACGCCACTGTGATAGCAAAGTACCACAACAGTGCCGTAACTTCCTGGGGGATCAACGATGCAAGTTGTTCCGGTATATCTTTCCGGAACGTAGAGGGCTCCCCCAAGTTCATACAGAGGACCTTAAAGAGTTACTTCCCATCATAAAAAGACCATTGGCCTTCTCGGACAGGGCAGGGGCAACTTCAGGGGACAGAGAAAAGGAAACCAAAAAACAAAGGTAAGTTTGTTGCCACAAGCACACGAGTGCACAGAGTGACCACTTAGTGTCAGACTTCCACGTCCTTTAATGGACCACAGGGAAAACAAAATGCGTGACGAAAGATGCCCCATGGGGGGCTGACCAAAGGGCGAGAAGCACTACACATGGCAATTAATAATGATAATATTTATTCCTGAATATACAGGCACACACCATTTTTACAGGTATGAATAAGTTTACATACAAATTACACCTATCTTTGTGGAAGGTAATCTGAATCCCTACCCGTTGTCACTGCAAGATATAAGTGGGGCAGGTTCATATAATGGAACATCCCAACAGAATAAGTGTGCAGAAAAATTGAGAAACAACCCGGTAGAGTGCACATCAAACCCATTTGGAAATTGGGTTTTCACCTGTGGAAAACTCAAATATATAAATAAGAGAAGGGCCTGGCAGATCGTCTTGTCCAGCGTCGATACGCTGACAGACTCACTGTCGGCAAAGCGAGAACAGCTTGACAGTCAAATGTGGGTCGATTACTGTCACGAGCTGAGTCTCTCTTCCCTCCCCACTAAGGATGAGTCTAAAAGCCATTCCCAGGAGCTATCGTAGTTGCGACAGGCAACGGCATTCAGTGGGGAAATGCTCGCAGTTCCTTTGTTTTGTGTGAACACCTCGCCCATCCACATAGTTCTTACATCTGTCATCGAAATGCGTTTCACACCGCTTATTCACGTGCAAAGTGTTAGCCACACTTCCACTTCTTAAATGGGAAGTAAGTACATTTATTCAGGAGGAATGATGTTAACAGATCAGAATGAGCTAACTGAGGCTGCAAAATAACAGAAAAAGGGCAGACGATGGCAGTTTTCACCCCGGAATGTGTGCATTTTGGATGCGGGAAAACCACATTTTCATATTGTACGCTACAACACCTTGGGATGACTTTCAGACTCATCCTTAAGATGTACTAAGCAGTCTGGAAATAGACGATCTTCTGAGCCCACGTGATGAAGAGTAGCTCAGTACTTCTGGCTCCAAAGCTAACACTGACCAGACCGTTAATAATGGACGTCTCCCTCATGTCCCCATCGCACAAAAATTTATCCAGAAAATATCAAGACTCCTTTCATCTAGATCTCCTTGTTCGAATGACCTGAGCCCAGAAATCCTACAGACATACTCGAGGGCGCTCATGAAGCCGATCAGCATTCTCTCCAAGCACTTGCTACAGCCTGGCAGGCCCTCTAGAGAGTAGAAGTGTGCATTCTTGCCACCCACTTTAAGCCCGGCCACAGTAAATGTCCTGGCGGTTACAGTTCGATAACCCTACTCCAAGTGCCATCTAAGGTATTGGAAAACGTGATAGCAGATGTGGTATGGGGATTCCTCACCTGGGATAACACCGGTCAAACTTTAAAGCCTGGCTTTGGGAGTAGTTATTCGTGTGTTACCAACTTGCTGACTGTCTGGTACACCTAGACCAGAAAACGGCAGAAAACAAGTACATGTCATATTCTGTAGCTAGCTAAAGAACTTGACAGTGTCCCACATGATATCCCACTCCATGTGTTTACGTCAACCGGCGCTAGCGAACCACTGCCTTCTTAATACAAAGCTAAACCAGAAAGCAGATAAGACCTACGAAGCAAGGACGGCCGGATTGCAATTCAAGTTGAGCTAAAGTACCATCATCAAGGGGTCCTAGAAAGAAGATTTGCGGTTCAAATTCTCTGGCACCCTACATGCCAGGACTAACTGCAAGGGAATCCCAGCCAAAAAGAATGTCAACCTACACTCTCTGCGTGGGCAGCTGGGTGCTTTCAACCCTGAACTGTTTCTGACGAGTTTCAAATCCGATACACGTCCACATCTGGAAGTCATCAATACAGCAGTATTCATGACACTGAAGGGAGACTCCAATCTCCAGTAAAATGCAAAGATCTGCGATAAACTCGGTTTTCGGATTATGGTGGATAACATCTTCTGAACTTGCTCACCACAGACTGTCTCAGAAAGAGAGCTGACCTTATTATGACCTACAAGATTATTCAAGAGGCAAGTTGCCTGAACGACCTAACTTTACCCGCGACATGGTTCATATGACTTACCAACGATTTGCTCACAACAGTGGTGATCTCCCTATCCCATTGCCGGCCACTTCTTATTTACCGATTGCCATCTTTTTGTTTCGGGTACACCCACATTACCTTCTGACTCTTCTGTAGTAACCAGAGTTTTACTGTCAACTTTACCTTTCAAGGACCTCCCATTTACTCTTTCTCGCTGTCCTGGTATTCCTACCAAGGCAAATATGCAGATTGGAGTCATAAAAGATACATAATCTTCCCAGCAACCTTCAACTTCCTACTCGACTCAATTGACAAGTTACAAATAACAACCAGCAAAACATTCATCTCACTACAGCCAAAAGCAGGAAATCAAAAAAAGACTTCCGATACAGGAGAAAACGGAATAACAGTGACAAAACTGTAAGAACTAGACTCGAGAAATCAAAACTATCAGTTTCCTAGGCCAGTTGTAGGAACTGTTTGAAACCATGTGTCTTTTCAACCCTTTTATCTCCAGAAAGAGAGTCCCCAACATTGTTTGACATGATGGATATACAACAAGAAGGACGACTGCTTCACATGCACTGGATGTTGTATATTGAAGATTGTCAACGCAATGTGCATATCATTTTAATTGGAAAGTGCGCAAAATATACATGGTGTGCTACGTGAGTAGTTGTGTTATGTCATTTCGTTCCGAGCTAATTCATATCTCAATTAAAGCTTGATCGTTCTGAAATTTCAGTATTAACAAGAAATTGATGCTTCAATTCGCTTTGAGTTAGAACTCGCTTAACTTCTCTCTAGTTGATAATACTCAAAGAACATTTTTCTAAGTGAAGTTGAAGTCCATCTTATGTGAACAGTATTCAACAAAGTGGGGATGAAATTTTAAGAGAGACATAAATGAAAGTACTCTAGAGTGTTTCCAAACAGACAGTTAGTAGCATAGTCGTTTAAACTGTTGTAACCATGCGGTATATCATTTTAGATATATTGCTAGATATATTACGATTGAGAAATTTATGACATGTGGGAACCATCATTACTATTTTTTGGCATATGATCATGCCGTCAAGTTTCTGCAACGATAAAAATTCATTAAGAAACAGGCACCACAGTCATAGAGAACGTAATGGTTTTTAAACTGTTGTTTCTTGTTGTGTCTTGGATGAGAATAACTCAAGTAGCCTATATAGTGTTAGTATTTCTCACTCTTTGCTCACGTAGTAGCCGCAAAATGTTATTGTGGCATATTCAAATTACTTCGTTATCAATATCATGGTCCCAGTGGGAAAATTTATGGATTGTAGCAGGGCGATAACGCGGGGTTATGTCATCCTAAATGAAATGAACAGTGAGACATTCTGTCCAGTTCCTAATCTCGAGCTCTCAGTAAACTTTAGTCTAGCACGTAGGTACATTGTTGGCGGAGGGTAAGGAGTGTGTTTGTTTGGTAATAGTAGCCCACTGAGCTGTCACGAGAATCTCCAAGGGCAAAAGAGAGAAAAATCAAAAAAAACGACAATGTACTTACGTAATTCACAACGAGAAACAGTCTGAAAATTGAGACCAAAAAGTGCGTAATCAAAATCCCAAATGTGTTAATCACCTCTTCCCGATGAGGAAACAATATCACATTGTCTGCGTGCACCTGAGCTAAGTGGAGATTAAACGTCGCATGTGAAACTGGTGAGCGGTTTATATTAGAGGGGATGGCTGCCGTAGAGTACACCTTAGTTTTATTGTGATCAAACCGAATCTGATTTCTGAAATCAGAGTTTGACTTAAAGTAAAATATTGAAAATTTCAATTTGTAAGTACTCTTCCAGAACACCTTAAATGATATCTTGTAATCGCAAATCACTAGTTATCACCAGAACTGATAGGAGTTATGGGCAATAATCTTGGCTGTACGAAAGGTGAGGGTGGAAATGCTGGCTAAAGATTGAGACATTTTTTAGATAACTTGCTGAATGTTTGAAAAAGTAAAAGGATTAGCTTTTCCAGCTTAAGTTTTCAATGACATGTTTTTAAAGGTGATTACATGCAATCCTTTGAGGTCCGTTAACTTTGGTAAATTTCAGAAGCGTTGAATACCTGATCTGACTGGTGACTTCATCGGGAAGAACATAGGCCTTTAACGATAAGCTTCTTACGATAGCTTTCGTGAAAGTCAGTGACTACCAGGTAATTACCCGTCGTTTTGAAATCTAATACGATTTGTATGACAGCTGGAATACTACCTAAGTAGGAAAATAGAACCAGGTAATTGCTTTAGGGATTATTTTCTCAGCGTTTAAGGTTTAACCTGTGAAATAGTGGAGAGACGTCATGAGTTTCATTCTCATGATTTTCATTGATCGGAATAAATTCGCTTCCTTAGGTTAGTCGGTCTAATCAATACCACCAGTTTGTAGTCATTCAGAACAATAAAGGAAGTAGCTAAAAAAATAATGTGTCCAAGATCCCGAGATCGATAGTTATCCGACATCTGACCGAAGCTCCAGAACAGCAGACGCGAGGAAACCAGGCAGGTTCCAGATGGAGATGAGGATGGATCGATCATATTTTAACCTTCCGACAGGCTCTACCGGTCAGTGGCCGACACTTGCCACATTTCTTGGCCTAAAGGCAGCATTTGACTCAGTCGACCGTGAGGTATTGTGGTAGTGTGTGACTGTGAAAGGAGTACCAAGCTAGTATGTAATGCTTATCAAAGCTCTCTACTTGGACTCACACAGCCGTGTGAAGAGTTGCCATGTGAATTGATGATACCCAGTGTCGCCGTTCCTATTTAACTTTGTTATAAATGTACCAATGGACATAACCTTGGGGACATCTGACTTCACACTGATTGATTTACTCCCTGGAGGTCGTCTAGTTGATTTGGAGTGTGCAGACGATATTGTGTTGGAAGGTGAAGACGGTGACAAAACGCAGGGTTTCTTGGACGCCTTGAACAGAAATCTGTATATGTTTGACATGCTTTTTGCTGCACCTGTGAAATGTAAGATGATGCTCCAGGACTGGTCTGCTGCAAGTACTCCCTGTCTAATGATAGAAAGTGATGGTGGAATGTATTGACCACTTTACTTAATTGAGAAGTTGCATAACCTCGAAGTGGTTGGTTTCTGACGTAATATCTGCTCGGATACAGAAGGCCCCTTTGACATTTAAAGTTTGGATATTCACACTAATCGTTATCTTCAGATTGTTTATTCTCCCACACAACTTTGTCTACCTTGATATCACTGTTTTTCTATCCACTGGTTCTTTGTGCACTGCTGTAAAGTGTAGCAAGTTGAACCGACTCTACGTTGATTTCGTCCTTCTGTCAGACAGTTATGAAATAAGATTGAACATTGGTATATTCAGCTAGTGAGAAAACAAAAATTGAACTCTAAAACCTGTTGCGGAAGTATACGAGCTGTAAATATAATTTTATATATTTTAGACTCTTAAAATTTTCACACAGTTTAGGCATTTAAAGCGTCTGAGGCAGTATGATTTAGAAAGTATGTAGATGCTTGCATTTAGAGACAATAATTTTGGCAAGTATAGTAATATATGAAGATAATCAAATGAATTAAAATGACATTGAATTGTGAAATTTATCTGAATACTAGTGAGGATTTGAATTAGACATGGTATAGCTCTTTAAGATTCAGACTTAGGTTACGTTTAATGTGCGCAATCACTAGAATCTCAGTGAACCTAAGTCAACTGAGATGCATTGGACATGTACTGCGCATGGCGAACCGCCGCCTGCCATACTAAGGGAAGTTGGGTTAGGATGAAAAATGGTTCAGGATCGTCAGACCAAGACGTGGCACCAGTTAATGAAGTCTCTGAGTGTTGGCTTAAGCTGTATGAGGAGATGTAGACTGTCTAGTTGGGATCCACCAGACGGATGTAATCAGTGGTTGAGGACACTTGGTGGCCGCTGAAAATCCGTTACAATTGCGCAAATGTATTCACTGCTTGACATCTGAAGCTTGAATATTCGCACCAGCCGTTATTTTCACATTGTTTATTCTCCCACACAACTTTATCTACTTTGATATAATTGTTTTACTATCCACTGGTTCTTTGTGTACTGCTGTGAAGTGTGGCAAGTTGAACCGATGCACTTGTGTATGAGATTCTGCGTTGATTTTGTCTGTCTGTCTGGAGTCAGGATTCTTTAGTTGCCGTAGATTGACTTTCTGCATCAAATCTGTGGGATTTTAAACATAGTTTGGATTTATTAGCCTTTCTGTGTTTTCTTTCATAGGTTAACTAGCAGTAGTTCGGACTGATAGTCATTTAAGTATTGAGTTTCAAGTATATCTAGTTACTTAGAAGCTTCAATCTGAGTACTGCGCTCTTCTTTGGGATTTAAAAAAAAGTTTCAAAAATAAATCTAATTTTCCATTTGCCTTCACAAAATGTATGTCTGTTGTGACCTTCAGCTTTGTGGATAAATTACTAGCATTTTGTTATTTCTGACTATAAGGTAGCAGTACAAACACTTTCATTATTTAAACTGAACTTGAGAAAATTCTTGTTCTCATGACACTAGTTCTTTCTGATTTTTTAGTTTTAGTTCTCGACACCTCATGGAGAAGCCAAACATTGACTGCTGTATACATAAGATACCAATCTTTTTCGCACAAGTAGTGGCCACTATTCCTCCAAGATTGCATCTCTTTAAAAATGGTTCCCCCTTTCACATCAGCTTCTTAGTAGTTTATGCACTTAATTTGGCTGTTGAATCTTGAGTTATAAGCCTGACCCATCGTTAAAGCATTCGCGTTATATTTGTTTGTGTGGCTCGTTGGTTTGATGCACAAGCTAATCTGGTAGAACTTTGATATCCATCTTCTTAACTCTAATGGTTAATCCTAATTCTCAAATTTAATTTCGTATATCTTTCTGTAGGAGTTCATTCCAATAATCTAGGGGCGATGTCGATCCATTTGGAGGCTTTTTTACGTCTATATAACAGCTCATGGGCTTATGTTGTGGAGTCATATTGGTGAACATCTTTGTCTTAAGTACTTCAAAATCGGCCAGTAAAAGACTAAGTTTTTAGCATCATTAAGAGACTTCTGTAGTTTTCTTCTTTTCCCATTAAAAATGTAAAATAATCATTCTCATGTTCGTGCATTCAAGGTCATGCAGGTGTCACTAAAGTGCTGTAAAATCCACAGTTCCACTGAATTGCCATTCGTTCTCATATTCAGTATTGCTGTATTGCATGTTATTCATTCTTTCTACCTTTGTATTATTTTCGTGTCAGGCATTTCTATACATCTTATAGGTACCACCTTCGAGGACGAAATAAGATAAGTGATTCAAATCAATTACATTATATTATAATGGGTTTTATTGATAAATGCGTTTTCACAATATTTGTTTTAGATTAGTCTTTGACGATGTCATCTAAACCAATTTGTGACCGTGTTAACACATACGCCAATAGGACTATCGCTATACCGGGGTACGAAGGAATACCGCATAATTTACTAATTAACGTTGTTGGTTGGTTGGTATGTCACATTAAAAATAATATATTATGGATATAGCTTTTAATGTTTGGTTTTTCATTGCTGAGGAAGCTTGCATGGGATTATGGACGCATGGCTATGGTACAACCGAAGAAGAATAGGTGTGTACGTGGTTTTCAGTTTTCCTATTGTTTCTGTTAATCACATTTTACCTTCATATAACAGTTAGTATCTACACGAAACGTATCATTACCGCATAACAGTTCGTTCCCACACTTTATCAGCGAATCAAACCACAAAGCAACAAAATGAAAAAGAAACGGAAATAATATAACCAAAAGGGGGAAACAAATAATGAAAGTGACTCAATGTTTCGGACCAATGTGGGATGCGGATAGATACGCACCACTGCGATTAGTTCCGAGCCATATCAATTAGAGCTTCAAATCAGGTTTTCATTATAACAGGAACCGTATTTAGGAAGTTTATATTTCCCCTCACAGTTCCGACTGACGGTCAGAGACTTTATGGACTGACGCTGCAATTTAGTCTGGCTAGTCTTAACCTTCTCCCAGCCTAAACTTTCTTCAGCCGACATCGTACCTTGGGTTAGACGGTGACAAGATAACAATATTTCTGCAGTTTAATGACAGGAGAGTTTGAGTTCAGCATAAAATAAGGTTTTACTTTAAATTTCATTTTCTCCGTGTATGTATGTTTATGAATAACGCAAAGTGAAACCACTGATCAATATTCACTATCATGTTTAATAGGGTTTGTGTAAATCAAAAATTCTAACAGAACTGTCTTTATCGCTCATAGAGGATTGCTGTAAGGTTAATAAGTTGGTTTTATTAATATCTATATTTCCCCCTTTATACTATTGTTGAGTTGTGCAATTGTGGGAATAAGTACATTTTATATTTTCCGAAAATTTCCTTCATTGCGTTAGTCTGCTTAGTTGATTATAAATTCATGCACAGAATAATATATTTTCGATACTTTGCGCAAATATTCTTTTAGTAGAGATGCACTCAGCAACCATGTACCCGTGCAGTAAGCAATAAGGCACACGTAGGGTTTGACGGATAATACTATTATTGGGTATGTGGAAAAGTGTTCGATCGCAGGACCCACTGGTTGGAAGTCGGGTGCTTAGAGAAATGAACCATAGCTCCACCTATCAGTGGTCAGAAAACAATCCGTTCGTAGGTCATCCATGTTTTATAAAAGGATCAGATTAGATTCGCTCTTTGAAAGACATTAGCATAAACTTATGTGTTCATTCAAACGAAGCGTAAACGTTGTCATGTTGGTAATAGGACACGAGTTAAGCAGTGCCACAACTTCGTCTAGTGTGAAATATTTTGTATAAGTTGATGCGGGGTTTGACTGAATCAGTTGGTGTTAAATTAGGTGAACTAGATTCTTAGTGGAACTTTTCTGTGTTATTCATAAAATGAAAGCATGTATATAGCAGTTGGTGAATAAACTTTTTCCTATTTTAGGTGGACCACCCTGTTTTACTCAGAAATAAACCGACGTGTTAGTGAGACTGGTTCAGTTGAAAGTTTGGAACAAAATTCATCCGTGAATGATCCAGTAAGTCGTTTTACTAATTTTACATTTTATCGCATAATTTGTTATTCAGTATAAATCGTCTTTGCTACATTTAAATGTCAACCTCTGTTACTGTTCATTTTTATTTTTCAGGGTTATTTCTCGTGGATTATCAGCTACTTCAAATTAACGTAGGTTGTCTTACAGATAAATCTCAGGTTTATTTAATAAAATGATTGTTTGTTTTTTGTGGTTAGTGCCAAAAGTCTACCATATAAGTTGTGCGACGTGCATGTGGTACTTGTATGTGAAAAGAATTAACTCATCAAAGAGGTGATGGCTCGTGCACTGGGTGGTCAGCTATACGTATTATGTTAAATCTGATGTTACTAACTGATGGCCTGAACCTTGGTAGGTGTAGTGAGTTTTGAACTCATGACCAACTGGTTGAAAGCCAGTTGTCTAGAACGTTAAACTACAGCTCCACCGTTAATTTTGTGAAATCAGTCCAATCTCTTTGTGTTTGGGACGGACCTTTTGTTGTAGGGAGAGATTTTCCGATGTATCTGTAATTTGTATCACTAAGTTTCCGTGAGGCTTGTGTCTTTTTGTTCGCAGTTTGGTCTGAGGAAGTAGTTTATTTTCCTGTTGCCAAACATTTCTGTACCGTTTATGAAATAAACCTAACCAATAGCTGCTACATGGACGTAGTGGTCGGGCTTGCATGTCACGATGACTCAACAAGATATGCTGGTAGAACTCTTACTCCCTCGAGGTTTTATCATATCAGAAAGGTTTGTTGGATAGTGGTTCGACAAAAAGCAGTTGCTCTTAACATGTTCGTAAACAATGAGATTACGCATAATGGTGGCTTAGATTTGTCACCAATGGTTAATGTTAATCCAAAACCACAGAATGTATGTCCAACCAAATCTCCCTTACCACAGACTAGTTATCGTGGCATGAAAAAGACCGTACTGAACTAGCCTCTAGCAGATGCCCCCTGGACTTTGTGGTCACAAAAATCTTTTTCTCTTTCAGGTACCTTAAGAAGAAATAACCTTCCATAATGTGGGTAGTCGGAAGTGTCAACCGCCTGCACGCTCCCAGTAGTGTATACATGACCTAGTCAAACAACACAAACTTTCTGAGATTTTATTTTTGTTATTATCGCCTTCATTATTATCCTCTTGTTCATAAACCCGAATTCAGTTTGCCACGTTAGTATCAGATGACTATACTGAGTAATTTGTTAGTGTAATTGTACAACCCGACGATAATTTACCGAAAACACGTGTTCTCTCCAAGCTCTGTTTTCTAATAACCTATTCTCCTCATCCCTGTCTCCTTCCTTCCCTTCATCACATGGTATTAATACTAAGCTTCTTACAACTCCCTCAACCCTTCACTCTGTAACCACTACCAACCATCACAGCCATAGAAACCTCATTACTAGTCTCCTAAGACCCTACCATCAACTTTATGTAAGAGCCTTCAACATCCGAACTCTATGCCAAATCGGACAGCAAGTATCGTTTCCCAGGACTCTGGAACCTTGAACCATAAAGGTATGCTGTCTCTGAGACACCTAAACAGAACCTGGGTGTGGTTATTAGATTGACCTCACGTGACCAGTGTGGTGAATCTCTGGAATTCACTTTACGAGTATCCAGAGGCCTGTTGGCTACCTCGTGAATTCTCTGATGTAGACATAGCGTTGAGTTGTAGCGTAGAAAGTCCGCTTCTTGACCGGATACCAGTCAACAGTCGTGTATGTGCTGTTCGACTGAATGGATCTTTAAGGACTAGGAAGGATCGTGAGACTAGGCGATGCCTATTTGTAATCTCGGTCTACACACCTACCGACTATACTTTGTAGGATACAAAGGACAAATTCTATTAAAAGCTGTCAATTTTGCTACAGAAAGCAAAGCGTTCAGATGTAGTTATAATGGCAGGTAACCTTAACGCTCAAGTAGGAAAGTTAAGGCCACCGGAAAGGCATCTTGGACGTATTTACGGAATGCCATGCCGACAAACCGACACGGATGACCGTCTGTTGCAAGTTTGCTCCGACAATCACTTGTTTCTGACTAGTACCAACTTCAAGCATAAGGAGAGACATTGTATCACATGGCATCTGCCGACATCAAACCGACGATGGACACATATGGATCACATTGCCATAAGTCATCATTAGAGAGGATCGGTGGAGGATTGCCGCTCTTTTTGAAGTACCAGTTTGGACTCAGATCAAGCGCGAGTGCGCATTCCTGTTTGTCTGTCCCTTACTGGTCATAGGAAACAAGCGACAGTAAAGCTTGTCCATGGTCAATCGAAAGACGAAAATGTCAAGTTCACACTTAAGGAAGCGATTGCCAAATATTCATCTGAACATGATGGCAACGCTCAGCCTGAGGAAACCTAGGATCATGTTATGTCTGCTGTAAAAACAGTGGTAAAGACAGTTGTTAACCTACACCCGAAGGTTAACAAACGTCATTGGGTTTCCATGGAGTCATTCGAACTGATTGATGCGAGAAGACTCCAGCTGGCTCTGACAACAATGCAGAGCGAAAACAACTCAAGCGTAAGTTGACAACGAGTCTTCGCGTCGATCGTGAGCATTAGTGGGTGGGGAAAGCGAGATAAACGTAGAAGGTATCATCGTTGGGTAACACTCAGCAAGTGTTTAGGGTTATTAGGGATACTGACAAGAAAAAGACGATGGCGAGTGAAACCATCACTAAAAAGGATAGGACGCTGATAACCTCTCATGACAGGCGACTAGGACGTTGGGGAGAATACTTTAAAGCACAGTTCAGCTGGTCCTCAGCAACGCTTCAGTTGCTCAACATTCATCCTAAACCTGAATAACACATGGTTGTCTGTCCTCCAACTCCTTGAAGTTGAAAAACCTGTATCGAACCTGAAACGATAAATAGTACCAGAACCTGACCTTTTGCCACTCGATGCTTTCAAGGGTGGAAGTAGGAAATTGCTGATTATAGTGACGAAAGTAATAGATAGTGTATGGGAATCAGATATAGTGCTATCCAACTGGTCCAGTTCACTGATGTTATCAGTTTATGAGAAGGGGGAGAAATCTTATGGCAGGCACAGGGGAATTCGCCTGATTAATATTGTTTCCAAGATCCTAGGGTCCACAGTCATCCGATGCCTAATTTGTTCCCGAGAAAACCAGGCAGGTTCCAGATGGAGATGAGGGTGGATCGATCATATTTTAACCTTCCGACAGGCTCTACCGGTCAGTGGCCGACACTTGCCACATTTCTTGGCCTAAAGGCAGCATTTGACTCAGTCGACCGTGAGGTATTGTGGTAGTGTGTGACTGTGAAAAGAGTACCAAGCTAGTATGTAATGCTTATCAAAGCTCTCTACTTGGACTCACACAGCCGTGTGAAGAGTTGCCATGTGAATTGATGATACCCAGTGTCGCCGTTCCTATTTAACTTTGTTATAAATGTACCAATGGACATAACCTTGGGGACATCTGACTTCACACTGATTGATTTACTCCCTGGAGGTCGTCTAGTTGATTTGGAGTGTGCAGACGATATTGTGTTGGAAGGTGAAGACGGTGACAAAACGCAGGGTTTCTTGGACGCCTTGAACAGAAATCTGTATATGTTTGACATGCTTTTTGCTGCACCTGTGAAATGTAAGATGATGCTCCAGGACTGGTCTGCTGCAAGTACTCCCTGTCTAATGATAGAAAGTGATGGTGGAATGTATTGACCACTTTACTTAATTGAGAAGTTGCATAACCTCGAAGTGGTTGGTTTCTGACGTAATATCTGCTCGGATACAGAAGGCCCCTTTGACATTTAAAGTTTGGATATTCACACTAATCGTTATCTTCAGATTGTTTATTCTCCCACACAACTTTGTCTACCTTGATATCACTGTTTTTCTATCCACTGGTTCTTTGTGCACTGCTGTAAAGTGTAGCAAGTTGAACCGACTCTACGTTGATTTCGTTCTTCTGTCAGACAGTTATGAAATAAGATTGAACATTGGTATATTCAGCTAGTGAGAAAACAAAAATTGAACTCTAAAACCTGTTGCGGAAGTATACGAGCTGTAAATATAATTTTATATATTTTAGACTCTTAAAATTTTCACACAGTTTAGGCATTTAAAGCGTCTGAGGCAGTATGATTTAGAAAGTATGTAGATGCTTGCATTTAGAGACAATAATTTTGGCAAGTATAGTAATATATGAAGATAATCAAATGAATTAAAATGACATTGAATTGTGAAATTTATCTGAATACTAGTGAGGATTTGAATTAGACATGGTATAGCTCTTTAAGATTCAGACTTAGGTTACGTTTAATGTGCGCAATCACTAGAATCTCAGTGAACCTAAGTCAACTGAGATGCATTGGACATGTACTGCGCATGGCGAACCGCCGCCTGCCATACTAAGGGAAGTTGGGTTAGGATGAAAAATGGTTCAGGATCGTCAGACCAAGACGTGGCACCAGTTAATGAAGTCTCTGAGTGTTGGCTTAAGCTGTATGAGGAGATGTAGACTGTCTAGTTGGGATCCACCAGACGGATGTAATCAGTGGTTGAGGACACTTGGTGGCCGCTGAAAATCCGTTACAATTGCGCAAATGTATTCACTGCTTGACATCTGAAGCTTGAATATTCGCACCAGCCGTTATTTTCACATTGTTTATTCTCCCACACAACTTTATCTACTTTGATATAATTGTTTTACTATCCACTGGTTCTTTGTGTACTGCTGTGAAGTGTGGCAAGTTGAACCGATGCACTTGTGTATGAGATTCTGCGTTGATTTTGTCTGTCTGTCTGGAGTCAGGATTCTTTAGTTGCCGTAGATTGACTTTCTGCATCAAATCTGTGGGATTTTAAACATAGTTTGGATTTATTAGCCTTTCTGTGTTTTCTTTCATAGGTTAACTAGCAGTAGTTCGGACTGATAGTCATTTAAGTATTGAGTTTCAAGTATATCTAGTTACTTAGAAGCTTCAATCTGAGTACTGCGCTCTTCTTTGGGATTTAAAAAAAAGTTTCAAAAATAAATCTAATTTTCCATTTGCCTTCACAAAATGTATGTCTGTTGTGACCTTCAGCTTTGTGGATAAATTACTAGCATTTTGTTATTTCTGACTATAAGGTAGCAGTACAAACACTTTCA